GAAGCACTGAGAGTTGGGAAGACTGATGAGGCTGTTCCATAATTGTTGAAAAGGATAGGAGAGGGAGATTAAAGAAGAGTGTTAATGAAATATTTTTCAGTCTCTTGGATGACAAAGTATTGGGAAGATATTTCTTACTAAAATTTCTGGTATGTGCCTTTGTTATTTAACATTATTCTGTATTTACTGGCCAAATGACTAGACAAAAATGTAAGTATCAGATAAAACAAAAAAATATATTTGCGGATTATAGCTAGACAAACTGATTCTAAAGTTAAAATGAAAAAGTAAACAAAGAATAGCCAGAGAAATAATAAGAAGGACCAGGAAGGAAGGGAGAGGAGGTAAATCCAGTTATTTAAGAAACTACAACAATTTAAACATTTGGGAACTGGCACATAAGTAGATAAAGCAATGGAACAAAGCAGAGTCCAGAGACAGACCATAGAGAAGTGACATTTTGAATCAATTGTGGAAAGGATCCCTTACACAACATATATAGTATTGGGGGTAAAACACTGGACTCCTATATCATTTATAACTCCAGATCAGTTGAAAGTTCAAATGTGGAAAATGACACTACAAAATGTAAGAGAAAAATGTTTGAAAAACCGTTTTGGAGTGGGAAATGTAGTTCAAAGGAAAATACCAAATCCCAAACCATAAAAGATTGTATAAATCTGAATATATACAAATAAAACATTTCTGCATGGAAAGATACCATAAGCAATTGGTATATTTATAAATTGGGAAATAATTTCCAAATGCATGTCAGCAAAGGGCTAACCTTATATGTAAAGTGCTGTTAAAAATCAACAACACAATAGAAAACTTTGTAAGGACATGAACATTCAATTCACAGAAAAAAACAGACTTCTAACATTGTAAAAGATTATTCTTAACCTCGTTTATAATTAAATAATTGCGAGTTGAAATAATAATGAAATATATTTTCACCTCAGGTTGGCAAAGATCACTTTTAACAAGGGTGTTGTGAAATAGGCATCTTATTGGTTGTTGAGTGTTAAGTGGTAAAAAACTTTTGGAAGGCTATTTAGTATTATCTACCAAAATTTAAAATTATATCTATCTTCTGACCTAGCATTTCTATATAGATAAACTCTCTTTTTGAAAAAAAAAAAGCATCAGTAAGAATGCTTATTATTCCAAAAGATAGGAATGTTATACAATGGCATACATATAACTATGAAAAAGAATGTTAAATAACCATAATAAAATATGTATTTAATGTCTATTATGTGCCCAGAACTATTCTAGATACTAGGGATACAGCTGTAAACAAAACAAACTAAAATCCCTGCCCCTACGGAGCTCACATTCCATTGGAGACACAGCAAGATGCAGAAAAGGGTCAATGGCATGTTCATTAGTGTTATAAAAACTAAGAGGGAGTGGAGACAGGCACACACACAAATACATGTCTGTCTCTGCATAGAAAATCTCTGGTAGGTAATAACACGAACTGTTTGCCACTGAGGAGGAAGCCTGGAGGTCTGGGGAGGGAACTTTAGTTTCGTGTGAAAATGTTTGTTTACCACATATGCATATTAATTGAAATGGGGAGAATGGAAAAAGGTGGAGAAAACCGATTTGTGTGTGTGTATACTTTTTAAGAGACAGGATCTCATCTTACTCTTGCCAGGGCTAGAGTGCAGTGACCCAGTTGTAGCTCACTGCAACCTCAAACCGCTGGGCTTAATCGATCCTCCTGCTTCAGCCTCCCAAGAAACTGGGACTAGAGGCACCACCACGCCCGGCTAATTTTTCTATTTTTTGTACAGATGGGGTATCGCTATGTTGCCCAGGCTGGTCTCGAACTCAGGTCTCAAGCGATCCTCCCGTCTTGACCTCGCAGAGTGCTGGGACTACAGGCTTTCTTAAAAAAAAAAAAAAAAGGAAAAAAATTCCGGTTAAGTTCGTTGGGGCTTCGGGGGTTCATTTTTTTTCCGGGCATTTTTCAAGTTATTTTTGGCCGGCGGTTTTTCTTTGTTTCCTCCGGGTTGTTCGGGTTGGGGGGGGATTCGGGGGTTGTTCGGGGGCGGGCGTTGGAAAATTGGTTTTTTGGGGCTGGCCGATATGTGGAGAGCCCCCTGGGGCAAAGCACAAACCGAAGGTAAGATATATAAAACACAGGTAAATGTCAATGCATAGAGAGGAGCTGTGAGAGCAAATCATTTCCCAAAGTAAGAACCGCCAGACCTCGTTTGCGGCTCCGCGCCTGCGCCAAACAGTAGCGCTTTTATTAGCGCAGCCGCCGGGACGCACCATCACGTACGGATTGCGTTTTAGGGACCCGCAAGAGCCAAGGACGCTTGCCTTTTCCGGGTCGGGGAGGGGGAAGAGAATCACTTCCGGTCGTGGTGTACGTCACTTCCTTTCAAGCTTGGCGTTTGGTCGGTGGGGACCCACGCGGGTTCAACATGCGTATCGAGAAGTGTTATTTCTGTTCGGGGCCAGTCTACCCTGGCCACGGCATGATGTTCGTCCGCAACGACTGCAAGGTGAGAAGGCCGAGACCAGCGCGCGCGCCAGCCGCGCTCCCGCGGGCCCTGGGCTCGCCAGTTCGGCGCCGGGTTCTTCTGCGCTTGCGGGATTTGGCCCGGGATCCCCGCGCTGCTCCCGTGGGAGCGGGAACTCCGGCATCAGTTTCCCGCTTGGGAAGTTTCTCCTGCCTGCGTCCGTAGCGGAGCTGGCCACCAGGCCACCGTTAGGTAGCATTGGCTGTGATGAGAGTCAGGAGCAGTCCCAGCCAGCAACGACCGGAGTCTGGGGTTTTGTGGGGGCTGTTTGGCTACTCTTGTACGTGGGCCAAATTCCTGATTCCAGTAAACTTTGTTGAACGTATTCTCAGTCCAAACCAGGGCGTAGAGGTTGATAGAAGTGTTGCGTATGTTCTAGTGGTAGGGTTATGTATTAAGTTACCGTTGGGTAACTTAGTGAGTTAGTTAAGGTGAGCTGGGGAGGCTGGAAAGACTCAGAATAGAGGTGACGTTTATCCTGGATCTTGGATTTTGCGAAAGAAAGAGAGGAGAGGGCATTCTAGGTGGAAGGAAAGAACATTTTGAACAAAGGCAGAAAATTACATCTGTTTGAGGAAGTGATTGGATTGTAAATGATAACAGAGGCTTGGGTTAGGGCTACAGATACAAATATAATAAGCCTGTAAATGTAAGTAATAGATATGAGACCAAGTCGTGAAAGAGTTTTTGAATGATGTATTAATTTGCTTTCTCGTATCAGAATGAATCCCATTCCTCTGTTTCTCAGAGAAGTACATTGTTTCTTAGAATTTGATCCCTCTCAGATTTGCTTCTGAATTAATGGGAATTTGTTAAAAATTCAGATTCCTGATTTCCATCAGATCTATTGAGTTTGAATCATCAAGTGGAGAATCTAAGAATCTGTATATGTAACAAGGTCATTTTTGACATGTTAAAGAATAACATGTCTGACTTCACCGCCTTGTATCTCTGTAATAGACCAAAGGTATTGACCTAATTAAATTAGGAACAAGAGATCCAGTTGAAAGGGTGCAGAACTATGTTTGAAAACTTGAAAGAGCATGTAGAAGGTGTTGAATACTTGCTTTAAGGAACATGATAAGAAATTTATAAAAATGAACCAGAAGATTGCCCGGGTGGGGTCTAATTCACAGTGGGCAGTGTGATTTTGTAAATGATCTGATCATCATGATTTTATGATTTTGCCCAGCTGGGTATTGGAATTAGAACAACAGATGGTGGGAGCTATTGAGACCCGGGTATTGATTTGGTAGACACAGTGGAAGTTCGGTTTGATGAGAAAGTCTGACAAGGACAGTGTTACGTTAGTTGGGAGTCAGCTTAGCCTGAGGAGGACCAGTGGATCCAGAACAGAGTTGATGGGGAAATAGGAAGAAGTAGAGGTCCTGAAACACTAACAAAGAACAAGTGTCTCATCTTTTCTACCAAATCTGTATCTCCTCAGCTCCAGATCCGAGTTTTCCATTGGGTGGGGAAATCCTGCTTGCACCTAACAGTGAGCCTAATGAAAGAGAATTCCTGATGATTGTACATCATATCTTTTTGCTCTCTGAATTAATACTATCCTTATGTGCCTAGATGGTTAGCTAGAAACTTGACTGTCATCTTTGAATCTTTGACCTTTCGTAGCCAATTACCAAGTCCTATCCATTTGGCCTCTGCAAGGATAGTGATGTCTTGGCCTTCTTTCTGTCCTCCTGCCCTGGTTCACATTAGGTACTTGCCACTTTTATAGTCTCTTACCTAGTCTTTCTTTATTCTCTTAGCTGTTAAGACTGTCTTTCATAGAAACCTCACCTCTTAACTCTTCTTACATAGCTTCTTAAAGGTAGAATTAGTGCTAATGCTCCATATTTTCACATACTTTGCAAACAGGGAGAATATCTACAACCTTAATGAGGCCTTAATAAATGTTTGGTGAATTAGTGGAATAAGAAAGGTCTGAACAACTCTGAGGCCAGGGTATGGTGGGTCATTTGTTTGCGTGTTGAAGACTGAGTATGATAGGGGACTAGATTAAAAGGGAAACTTGAGCCTCCAAAGCTTTGCCTCACACATAATCCATCCACCACCTATCCCACCGTAGTTTTAGCCACTTCCTCGTAAATGTTTACAAATTACTTTATACATGATTATAGCTTTATCCCATTGTTGATATCCTAGTCTGATCTTGATTTTTTTTTGTTCCCAAAGCATTATCACATTGCTAGACTACACTTTCCAAGGTAGGGTACAATGTTTTAATTAATTCTTGTATCCCTAACACCTAGAACAACATCAGGCACATAGTAGATGCTCCTTATTTGCTGACCGAATGTCCTTCACACCTCCAGTGACTCCAGTCTCTTCAGATACTTCTTTATGCTTTTCAAATAATAACCTATTAGACAAAGAGTCAGGTAGACTTCTCATTGGCTCTGTTTGGAATTGAGAAGATCCAGGAGAAGTTCAGTCCTCTCATTAGATAGATCTCAGAAATGGAGATTTGCTTAGGGATTATCTAGTAGATATGAAATTTAGGAAGCTTTTACTTAAAGAGGTAACAGTATTTTGGGCTGAAAATACTCAGATAAAATTTACCAATAATGATTTCATAGCAGGTTACTCTAGGAGACTATAATAGTGCTCATATTTTCTAGTCTATTTGAAATTAACTCAAAGTTATAGACATGCTTTCACTCAAGTCTCTTAGGAGAAGGCTATTGTGGAGGCATGGGTCTAGATCAGATTAAACTGATATTGACAGTCTCTAAGGAAACTGTCCTACTGTGTGTAGTGATCTGCTTGAAGTTCCCCATAGAACAACATACATATATGGTGAAAGGTATTATGATATGTGGTATATACACAGCCTTCCTTGGTTTGAAGTGTTTATACTGTTTATTTGGATGTATTGTATTATGGGTCACACCTTCTAGATAAGATAATTCCACTTAATTTTCTTTGCCAAGATTCGTAAACCCCAAAGAACTTTCTCTTCACATTTCCTCCGGTAACAAACAAATTGCAATGTGTTCTAAGGTATTACAAAGTAACAAAATAATGCATTTTAGATTTATAAAGTGAGTCCCAGTAAGCCATTTCAGGAACACATTGAAGTATTAAGTTGTAAGTTAGCACTGAAGGCTTAAATCTTTTGGGATGAAGGTGGAGAATTAAAGAAATCAAGAATCTTACTATGTCTATGAATAAATACTTTAGAAAACAAATCTATTATCATTTTTAATTGCTTTTAAAAGTATATTGTGCTTTAACAAGAAAAAAAGACTCAAAAGAAATTTCAGAATGATTGAAACTTTTATCCCATTGTGGTGTATAGAAAGTGAATGTTGAAAATTCTGAATTGAGAAGGGACTTAAATAACTTTACACTATTCCTTTTATTCAAGATCATTGTGAGGTTTTACTGTTATTCTGTAAAAATGATTAGTAGTTTTTAACCATATTTTCAGGCCCCAGAGCCTTTAGTTGGGATGATGTTTGATAGTCAAAAAAGAATTCAATTTCTGTTTAATCTGACGTCTTACACATTTCTAAATGGTGTTGTAAGTAGAAGGAATTGTGAGTGAGAACCATTGTCGTTTCTCAGACGTTATAGCATTTTTTTGTCTACAGGGGTAACATGCTAGAAAAATTTTTAATGTTGACTTTTCAATATTTTTAACTTGCTTTTCTTGTAGGTGTTCAGATTTTGTAAATCCAAATGTCATAAAAACTTTAAAAAGAAGCGCAATCCTCGCAAGGTCAGGTGGACTAAAGCCTTCCGGAAAGCAGCTGGTAAAGAGCTTACAGTGGTGAGTATGGTTAGCTGTCGATATAGTTTTCACATTTTTCAAAATTTTAATTTTTTTGAGGGTGTATGTGATTTAATTAATTATAACAGGGCTTCCTGTCATATATTGGCAAATACTTTATTTGTTTTGGGCTATGGAAATAATCTTATTCTTACATGATCCTGGAAACCATAATTGTGTAGAATTCTGAAAAGGGAAAAAAATTCCCAGTCCAGTTTTATAGAAGTACTTTCTTTTTTATTCTCAGAAAACTATTTTCAGCTCTTGCAAACAGAGGAAAATCATTTAAATGGATTAAGGTGAAGTTAGAAATTTCTACTCAAGGATTTTGAGAGGAAGGTAAGAGATTAGATGAGGACAGCAGTGAGGACTTAGATGAGGTTTATAACAGGCTCATTTATCAGTTTCTAGATTTCTTTAGCAGAACTTTGTGTCTAAGAGCAGAGAGATTAGTTAGTAGTGTCGGTGTGAAGAGGAATTGGGGGAAGTCAAGGGGTGAGGGAATTTCATGGGGGGAGCCCTGACCATCATATTGCTGTTATTGAATTGATAACAGGATCTGTTGAAGCTTGTCCACATTTGAGCCCTGTAAAGGGAGGAGGAGAATACTGCAGCGCAGGCTACCTTTGAGGGAGGAAGCTCTTTTAAACCATCCCTACCCTCCGTGGCCTCTCCTTCCCCCAAAACCTATGACCTCTTTCCCACCTCTCTACTGCTAAAGGACAGTATCTACAAGCATTTGCCAGGAAGCCCTTCTGTGGCTTCCTTAACAGGGGAGCTTTTCAGTGAAATAAAGATTATTTGACAAGATGCAAGGCCGAATCACAATAATTGTCACACATACAATTTTCAGTCTGGGCAAGAAGAAGCATAGCACCCCAAATACAAGTGGCAGCTGCATGAGTCTAGAAAGAATGCCAGTCACAGTCATTTGCTGATTACTAGTTACCTTGTTGCTGAAGTTATTGTAGTGTGAACAAAGGTGTGTGTGTATGAAAGAACTAACTAAATATAGAGTTAATGCTGTTCTGTGTGCCTATGTCAGATAGATTTGAAACCCAAGAGATATCTGTAGCTTTTCCAAAATTGCTTTGCAGGTTTTTAGATTAATAGGATCATTGACTGTCAAAATACCAACCACAAAAGGGATATCAGTGTTTAGAGGGGACCTGAAGAAATGCAGAGCAAATCTTATGTCCTTCAGAGTAGCACCATATTTATTTGAAGATATATATTGTTTCACACCTTTTTGCTGTAACAGATAGGTATTTAGGTTGAGCCATATTAAATTCTTTTTTTTTTTGAGACAGAGTCTCGCTTTGTTGCCCTGGCTAGAGTGAGTGCCGTGGCATCAGCCTAGCTCACAGCAACCTCAAACTCCTGGGCTCAGGCAATCCTTCTGCCTCAGTCTCCCGAGTAGCTGGGACTACAGGCATGCGCCACCATGCCTGGCTAATTTTTTCTCTCTCTCTATATTTTTAGTTGTCCAGATAATTTCTTTCTTTTTTTGGTAGAGACGGGGTCTCACTCTTGCTCAGGCTGGTCTAGAACTCCTGACCTTGAGCGATCCACCCGCCTTGGCCTCCCAGAGTGCTAGGATTACAGGCATGAGCTACCGCGCCTGGCCTAAATTCTTGATGTTTGGCTTTAATGTGTGAAAAATAGCAATTTCATATGGTTCAACCTAATAAAAAAATTTTTGGCTGTGAGTCTTATCTGGGGATGGGAAATTGAGGAAGCTTTTCCAGTTTGTTTGTAATCCCCATGATTGTTATATTGCCCTCTGAGGGATGGGGGTGATACTCTCCCCTCCTCTCCATTTGAGAATCACCTGTATATGGAGAGATGTTTTCAGTAGGGGTCTTGTACATGGAGGTGTACAAAGGAAAAAAAGTTTGAAAACCTATATTCTCCGAGATCACCCTGGGGTGTGGGGAGGAGATGTTAATACGTGTTCACTTGGAACTCTTGTGGAAAGGAGGATGTTTTAAGAAATGTTTCCTTTCTTAAAACCATATTTTTACCCCCTCTGTTTCCTCTTACAGGATAATTCATTTGAATTTGAAAAACGTAGAAATGAACCTGTCAAATACCAGAGAGAGCTATGGAATAAAACTAGTAAGTCACAAGGAAATATCAGGAATTTTCAGGAGAGACTGATTTGGGATATTACTATAACTTTAAATGTAAATTTCTCATTTTCATTGCTTGACTTTTATTCTTTTATCCTCATTTTAATATTCTGTTATATGTGTATCTTATATTAGAAGTTATCCTAAATCCTTTTCAGAATTGGCTGGTATATCTGTTATAAAAATATTATTATTAAATTTAATACTACTTTAAGTGCCCACACAGAGATGTAAAAACAAACAAAAATTTGAAAAAAACAGAAATGGAAAATTTCGGGGGTGAGTGTGGCACAGGTAAAACAGACACAAAACGTAATGCACTTTATAAGTTTAGATCTAGTTTAGGGATATAAATTGTACTCTGTATACCTTATAAAATTTAGTAAGTCTTTAAAATTAAAAAGCGTGGCATTTAAGATGATCATTACAAATTTTTTTTTTTTTCCTGATGTAGGCAGAGACGTTACCGAAAAGTGTCCCACGTGTAGTGTTAGTGTCTTGAGCTAGCTTATAGATTCCGCTATGTTCCTGTGTGTTTAAGGCCTTCGGCCCTGACTTTTCTTCCTCCCAGGGCTGCTTGTATGCTGTCCTTAAGCATTTCTAGTATTGAATGTGGGGGTGATTTGGTTTTTTAACCAGAAGTCCCTAAGGCTTAGAATTCCGCAAACTTTATCACTCTCCTAATGGATCATAGGTAGGCATCCCTTTCAACACCTTTTCCTGGTGAGTCATAAGACTTCAGGGGAGGAATTGAAAAGTTGTGGACCTTTGTCGTAGTATTGGACACCTTCCAAAGCTTATCTTCCTGGACCACGTGGAGAAATTAGAGTCCAGGTTTGGAATTCCCTTTTCCACATAGCCCTAAGTATTCTGCCCTTGGGTTTTTTTCCCCCTCTCTTCTTTGCTTCTTCCCCTCCCCTTGCCTCCCCTTTCTTTTCTTTCAATAAGGTCTTTCCCTTCTGTTTTATAATTAGAAGAAAAGTTGCTTTCTGAAAAGCAGTTCATTTTTATGGGTTTATAATTGTGTGAGGATTTCTAAAGAGATTAACTTCATAGGGTTCTTAAATTGATTCCAAAAGGTATTCTTATCAAGAACATTGTTGGAGGGTCCTAAAGCATTTCTGGACCCTATTCAGTTTTATTTCGTTTTGGCCTTTGTTTTCTGTTTATGTTACTACTTAAGCACAGCAGCTCCAGATCATTTTTACATATTTTATAACTACTTTTATTTGGTAGATATTCGGCATGATGTTGAAATTGAGGTACCCGTCCCATTTTGGTGATATGTGGATATTCAGTTAATGTGACCCTCCATGCTGATTTCATGTTATTTACATCACTCTTGAGAAATACTGCTGTGTTCTATAAGTCTTCATATACTTTAATAGTAATGTTCTCTGCAGTTCTTAATTTATTTTAACTCACTTTACATTTATTAAGCACTGCCTGCAGCGTACAAGGATGCAGAGGTCACACACAGTACCTGCCTTCTGGGTACATTTTACTGAGTACTCCTGTTTTATTGTTTCTGTTAGGTGGTAATTGGTTCAGGTATTATCACAGGGTTTCATTCCCTTGCCCGCCTTGTTTATGCATCTGTAAATTGTGTAAGAAGCAATGCTCTATTGATATTTTTCTGCATGGATTTTGTTATCCTTTTGTATTGGGATCCTAAAAGTAGATTTTTCAAAGAGGATCTGCTAGGTAGACAGTCTGAGTGTCTTTTGGAACTTCAAATTGTTTCCTGTTATTTTATGTAATTAATAAAAGTTGTTGTCGTAGTGTTCCAGAAACATATATTAAGAGATTTGTTGATTTCCCACACCCCTTATATGTCAGTATCATTTTGTCTATAAACTAATCTGTTGACAGTAATTCTATATCCATTGCTTACATTATTGAATTGTGTGAGGATGTGGATTGAGCCTGTCCTCAATTGCTCTTAGGTGCAATTGTTAAGGTGCTGATGTACACAGAAATAGTAGTAGGAGAACTTCAGAAACTAGAATACTAGGAAGAATGGTTTGTTTTATCCCTCATGTCTCTCTGTATTGCAGACTAGCTTTTAGTGTGTATCAGATGCTTTTTACATTCAAAATGTTTCAGTCTTTTGGAATGTTTGGAAATATAGTATATTATTCTTTGGAAAGAATTTACCTACCACTTGTGTTTGTTTTCCTTATGATTAACCTTAAGGTGTAGAAATGCTTCTGAGTACTAGAACTTGTCCTTACCATTTTTGCTAAAAGGCAAAGAAAGAAAAAAAGTTACATATCAAGCATATTATTAATTCTAAGCTGTAGCATATGCAAATGTATAGTTGACATTTTCTTTCTTTTCTTTTCTTTTTTCTTCCCTTTCCCTTTGCCTTTCCCTTCCTTTTCCTTCCTTTCTTTTCTTTCTTGATGAGGTCTCACTCCGTCACCCAGGCTGGAGTGCAGTGGTTTGATCATAGCTCAGTGTAACCCTTGAAATCCTGGGGTCAAGCAGTCCTCCTGCCTCAGTCTCCTGAGCAGCTAGGACCATAGGACCTTGCCACCATGCCTAGCTAAATTTTTAAAAAAGATTTTTTTGTAGAGATGGAGTCTTGCTGTGTTGCCCAGGCTGATCTCGAGTTCCTCTTCTCAGGCGATCCTCCTATATCAGCCTCCCAAAGTGCTGGGATTTTGGGGTGACCTACGTATAGTTCTCTTTTTAATATCAGAGGTCCCGTAGATCCTCCTGGAAGATTTTGTTAAAATGCAGATTCAGATACTCAGTCTCTGGGGCCTGAGATTTTTGCATTTCTAACAAGCTCCCAGGTGATGATAATTTTACTGGTCCCCAGACTACATTTTTTAAAAGTTTTTATTTTGGCTTAATTTCAGACTTTATAGAAAAGTTGCAGGAGTAGAATTCTCTGATACCTTTCATCCAGATTCTCTGAATGTTAATATTTTATTAAATTAACTTTCTTTTTCCCTCTCTCTCCTCTCTCTCCTTCTCCTGCCCTTCCTTCCTTCCTTTAGTATATAATTTTTTCTGAACTGTTTTAAGTATACGTAACGCTTCTTTATCCCTAGATGGTTTAGTATGTATTTCCAAAAAGAACATTCTGCCATATAACTACAATGCAATTATTAAAATCAAAAGAAATTAACATTGATAAAATATTATTACCTAATCGCAAACCTATTCCTATGTCTCCAGTTGTTCCAATAATATCCTTTATTGCAAAAGTTGTAAGAATAGGTCTCTTTAGTCTCTTTTAATCTGTGTTGTTTCCTGAGTTTGTCTTGATATTTCATGACATTCACAGTTTTGAAGAATATGAACCAAGTACTCGGTATAAAATCCCTTACCTGGGTTTTGTCCAATGCGTCCTCAAGATTAGGTTCAGGTAATGCACTTTTGGCAAGAACACCAGAGACGTGATGCTGAGATCTTAGTGTGTCTTGTCAGGAGACATGCTGTCCAATTGCTCCATTATTGGCAGTATTAACTTTGATCATTTGGTTAAGGTGGTATCTGCCAGGTTTTTCCACTGGAGAGTTACTATTTTATTCTTTGTAATTGATGAACATATTGTGGGGAGATACTTTAAGACCATATGACTATCCTGTTCTTCAGATCCACAGACTACACTGTAAGGAGCCAGAGCAGAAGTTGTATCCAGTATGGTAGCCACTAGCCATAGGTGGTACTAAGCACTTGAAATGTGGCTAGTCTGAACTGAGGTGTGCTATAAATAGAAAATACATGCTGGATTTTGAAGAGTTAGTATGAAACAGGAATAAAATATCTCACTAATAATTTTTTGTATTGATCACATGTTGAATAACAATATTTTAGACTTATGGGTTAAATAAAATATATCATTAAATTTCTTCCTGTTCCTTTTTCTTTCTTTCTTTTTTTTAATGTGGCTACTAGAAAATTTAAAATTACTTACATGGTTTTTCTTATATTGGGCAGCACTGATACAGATTCTAAAACATAGTTGGATTAAGCTCCCTTATAGCCAAGGCTCTTGTAGACATTTTCCAAAACTGTTGGATTTTAGTGATTGAGAACATGGTAGTATTGATTGGTTCATTCTACCAATATTCATCATGTGCTAACCATAACCCAGGCACTTGAAGAAAACATATTTATGACCTGAAAGGTGCTGTCTTTATTCAAGGAGATAACAAGCTAAGAATGAGACTAGTTGCCAATAATCCAAGTTCTCTTTATAATAAAATTTGAAAAGCAACGAACTAGTTTAAAGTGGAAGGGAAAACTCAATAGCAGGAAAGGCTGCTATTGAATATAAATTCCGGAAATGATACTTGTGAAAGAGAAAATTGATGGTGCTGTCAGTCAAGATTATATATTTCTTCAGCTTTTTCAGTAGGGATTGTTTTTTCAGTCAATGTTTTCATTTAAATAGAAGTGATTGTTAAAGCACGTGTTGGTTATAATCATACTGCTTGAATGTGCATAAATTTGCTAACTGTTATGAATTTTTTTGTAGTTGATGCAATGAAGAGAGTTGAAGAGATCAAACAGAAACGCCAAGCCAAATTTATAATGAACAGGTATGAATATTTGTATAGAATAACTGTTAGAAAAATAATTACTAGTAGATATCTAGAGACATTTGTATTTTTTCCTTAACTTTTTATTTTGACATAACTTCATACTTACAAAAAACTTGCAAGGATAATATGAAGAACTCTTGTATATTCTGTTAGCTTTTTACCACATTCACTTTATCCTTGTCAACTATGTATAGTAAGTTAAAGACATATTACCCTCCTTCTAAGTATATTTCAGTGTATATAACCCCAAAATAAGAACATTCTCTTAAATAAACACAGTATAGTTACCATAGCCAGGAAATTAACATTGACGTAATACTATTACATAATTTACAGTCCTCTTTTAGATTTCATTAATTGTTAATAATGTCCTTTATAGCAACAGAAAATCCTGGATCATGCATTACATTTAGTGGTTGTATCTCTTCAGGCTTCTTTAATCTGAACAGTTTCTCATCTACCTTACATGACATTGACATTTTTGAAGAATACTGGCCGGGTTAATTTATCCAGTGTTTCTCAGTTTGGGTTCATCTGATGTTTTCCTCGTGATTAGTTTTTGGTTCAGCTCCTTTGGCAGGAACATCACAGAAGTGATGGTGTGTCCTTCTCATGCATCATGTCAGGCACACGTGTCACCTTGCTGGTCATGTTAAATTTGATCACTTGTTTAAGATGGAGTCTGTCAGGTTTCTCCACTGGAAGGTTACTATTTTTTTCCTCTTGTAATGAATACGTATTTTCGGGGAGATTCATTGAGAGCAAGAGCCTGTTCCTCCTCAAACTTGTACCTACTGGTTTTATTAATAGCATCCATTAGAGAGCCGTGTCTGAATCAGTTACTGTTGTTACTGTTACCAAATGGTGGTTTTTCTAGTTCCGTCATTTCTTTCAGATTTGTTAGTTGGCTTTCTCATGTAAGGAAGAGCTTTCCCTTTCACCTCACTTTAAAAACTTACTCCTTTATTCATAGCACGTCTATGTGTATTTATGGATTTTTGTGGTCTTCAGTGGGTTATAATTCTTCATTGTCATTATTTATTTTGATGTTCTAAGTGGGCCAGGTTTGACCGCACCAGTTCCTTCAGGCAGGCTCTCATGTCATTTTGACAATTCCTCATCTGTCTTTGAGGGCCTTCTTGTTTTGTGGCTAATAGGATGTCTCATGCTTCATCTTCTACTTCCTCTGCCCCAGCCTGGAGCCAGCTATTTTTCTTCAGAGCAAGAGCATTGGTTTTTAGTCTAATCACTGTGGAATGTGTCGTAGAAAAGAAGCACGTGCCAGCAGCTTACTAGCTTAAAAAATGTTAAAGCATTACAGAAAAGGAGCCTAAATGTTTGGGAACTAGTCTGTTAGCATTTTAGAACATCATATGTGTTTTGTGCTTTTGTAATTACTGAATTTTTTTTTTTTTTTAATTACATAACAGAGACTTATCTATTTAAGGAGAAAAGATCTGGGCACTTTAACAATTAGAGATTGTTTTATGTAGTAGAGTACTACATGTGTATGATAAACATTAATCTCTGAGATTTGTTAATTCATTCACAACTTTCACTCAGTAAATATGTACATTGAGCCCTATTTCGTGCCAGAGTAGGCACAGGGATATAATGAATGAATAAGTCGTGGTAGTATAGAAGTCCTGTTTAACCTAGTTAGGAACCAAAAATCCTTTTGAATTGGAGTCGATAGGGAAGAAAATGTAGATCCATAAGGGCTTAACAGGTCACTTTACCTTAAATTTGGGAATAAATATAAAGTAGGTACCTCTTAGGTTAAGTTCACCACTTGGCCATTTGGGAATGAGTAATTTGTGAGAACTGAGAGACTCTTTGTTTACTTGGTGTTGATGTTTTGCTGGGTTGGGCAAGGAGGGGGCAAAAAGGGAGGGAACAGAAGGGCAGTCGTGTAGTTCCCATTTCCCATCTGTGTGGCCAACTTAATTAGAGAAATTTAATAGCTGTATTGTGAATTAATGTCTCGTAGTTTTAGTAACTGAAATTTTGGCTTTGGTATGTTTTATCCTAGGCTGAAGAAAAATAAAGAGCTACAGAAAGTTCAGGACATCAAAGAAGTCAAACAAAACATCCATCTTATCCGAGCCCCTCTTGCAGGTAAGTACTGCATTTCACAGGACTCTTCTACTTTAGGTAGAAAAATGAAAAATCTAGATTTTTGTGGTCTGTATAATTGGGTACCAGTTAACTTTGGGTGTTTTTTCATTTAAATGTTGTCTTTCAAAGTACATTTATGACATGACTTGGTTTATAAAAATATAATTTATTCAGTGTATTTCCCAGTTGCTGTCGATCTATTGCATATAGTATTTCTTTTCCCTCTTCATCAAATTCTGTTTTCCAAAAGATACCTCCCCAAGTTAGGCAAAATCATTTGAGTAATAATTTCGTGAATGATTTTGCATCATACATGTTTTAATTAAAGCACAGAGTGTTTTTTATTAGTGGTTTTCAAACTTTGGTTGGTACTGGAATTACCTGGGGAACTTAGTATAAATACAAAGGCCCAGACTCAAAAGAGTTTCTTTTGAATCTGGGTCT